AAAAGAAAATAATTCTCCTTTTTCTCATTTATATTAAAAATTTCTCTACTACCTATACAAATAAAATATAATATTTAAAGTTTTATTATGAATAATATTATCGTATAAAACTTATTATCAACTTTCTTCTCCGCGACAAACGTTTGTTAAACGAGACGTAAAGAATGAAATATATATCATAATCAAACGTATATCGGAATATATCATTATTCAAATCGGTAGCTTAAATGCATTGCGCGTGGTAGTCGAGATGAAAAAGCTTTCGAAACGCGGATCGATCCTGCGCTCGGTGCACCGCTTCAGGGCGGGTTGCATACAAATAGGTTCCGACAAAACACGAGAAAATTTTAAGGAAGTAAGTTGAAATTGAACCCCTTTCGTCCGCGCACGAGTCGACTTTTTACCCTTTAATCTGTGTGTATCGTCGACCAAAACGGACGGCGAGTTGACCGGAAAGATTATTAATTAGCCGGCCCCGGGAACTTGAATAGTTCGGTGCTCGTGAAAAGGGGTGGGGGCAGATAGGTCGTACGTGCATTCACCCCCGTTACCGAGGGGCAAAGTCCCCGCTTCACCCCTACCGTTATCCTTCGAGCAAAAGGTCACGTACTACCACCCTGTCGATCGTTCACCTCGTCCTGGGAGTCGCTCCTGGTAGTCAGGTTAAAGCGGAAGGTATGAAAAACTGTTCCCCTGCATTTCGGATACGAGCAACGCGGACGTGAAAAAGGGATGAGCCGCATTATCTCCCACAACAATTTCCATCTGATTAAATGTAAATTAAGTAATATCTTTTTTTTTTTTCTTCTTCTGTTTTTAGATAATAAATATAAAATAAAGTTTGAACAACAGAATGTCTATCGAAATCAAACGTATATCGATAGGAAAGGATAAATTTAATAAATGTCACGCTTATTCTCCTGTTACAATTAAATTACAATTTCATGAATTATATTCGAGACACGTGATAATAGAAGATTACAATTTTTGTTCGTTTTGATATATAACATGAAATTTCTCGCTAATGATTACGTATCGTAGAAAATGTAGAATATAAATTTATTGTATCCAATGTCTACGTTCACAGAAGGTGAACGTACACACTTCACGATATAAATTATCCATTATATTTGAACGTATTGCGCGAAAGCGTAATATATTTGTTCTTTAACACATTGTACGCCATTCATGTTATAAATTATAGTTTTCCACCATAACGATAATGAAAAGAAACCTTTTGTTCCTTTTTTTTCTCTCTCTCTCTCCGTTAAATCGTTGCTCGTTTCTACGATATAAAATAAAATAGAGAAAATCATTTTAAATTATCGTTCTTTGCGATGATTCTTTGGAACTTGATATGAATATTGGATATACAAACACTCAAATTTACAAATATTTTGAACACGTCCATTTTCCCCCCCTATTACATTATTTATCACTTGGCCATTAAAAATCGATCCGGATATTTATTCCAACACCGGATATTTATTCCACTCTTATTATCCCTCTCGATCGATTTTTAATAACACGTCCTAATTAACATCACGCCATTCCCAATTTTATCATAAACGCAACCCCGTTATCTTATAGGAACAGTTCGATGTACTTCGAACTGTCGTGCCTTTCCAATGGACGGAACTCTCTTTCTCTCTCTCTCTCCATCCCTCTCAAGGGGACAAAGACAAGGAATAATACGAAGTGGCAAACAATGAACCCCCCTTTTCCTCCCTTTCGATATTACGTTCCCCCGTGTTCTTAACGAAAGAAATATCGTCCTTAACGTTCTCAACCACCAGAATTGTGCAGGATGCGATCTACGACTAATCGTAAAAAAATTTATATTCATATACCATTGTGCCTCCTTGTTAACAGTAACAATGAGTAATCTTGGTAGAAACAACTTGTCAGGTTTGAAACCGTCATCCTCTTATAGCAATTACTACTTTCCTCTCCACGCCCC